GATGAAGAGTCCTAAAGTAGGACGAAACAGCTGTCCAGTACTCTCAGGTTTTCTCAGTGGTTCTCTAACTGGTATGAGCTCATGATGAAATACTTCATCCAATCAAATATAAGTAAAACAAACAAATGTGTAGATAGCATTCTGTTATTCTTCTTCAAACTCCGTGTTCAAACGTCAAAATGGCCTAGGTGGAACTAATATCCATGTACTTGTAGGAATTAACTAAACTTGAATTGTATGTTATTATCAAGGGGAAATAATTAAGAAGAGTAGTATAAACTCTACAGAACAAATCCCCTAGAATGTATTGTTTGTAGAATAATTCCACTTCCGTAAAAGAGTAATTAATAAATACAATGTCTTCAGGTTTATTTTAACTTAGAAAATTTACTTTTGTACTTCAGCGGCACCAGTATAATCAGTTTAAATAAATTTAAAAATCCCGGAATTCAAGATATATTCAATTAAAACGGATTTGTATTATTTAAACAATTATGGTATACTATGGAGACAGAAATTCTTCTGTGCTTAAATGAAGAGACTAAGAAGAGCAAAGATATTTCCTCTCGCCTAATAATCTTAGATATAGGTTTATGTATGGTAAACTTGTATGTGAAATAAAAGTTATTAAAAAAAGCCTGCATAAGTGTACCTTAGCCTCAATTATTATTCAGTAAGGTATTATTGAATAAAGTATTTCATAAGATTATTTGAACACAATAAATTGATTTATTTCACTATTGTCCACTGAACTATTATTAACTGAGTGATTTGGTGTTTTAAGCACAGTTTGTAATTGTCCCGCCCAACAAATATGCAAAAAAAAGAAGATGGATTAGACGTACACTGAGGAGACCATTGAGTGACATCACGCGTCAGACCCTCGAGTGGAACCGAAATGAGGATCAGCGAGTTGAGTGTGCGAGGATGATGTGATAGAGATTGTGTGAGGACAAAATGAAAGCTTATGGTCATTTGTATAAATGAAGATAACAGAGTGAACTGGAGATGAGCTACCGAAGCCTTTCATGTTCCATACAGAACCCAAAGAAATGACAATACTACACTTGTCTGCTGTTTTGAGTGACTAAATTATGAACACCACCATTTGTTTTGTTTCCATAGGTGTTGAGTTGTGTAAGTGTTAAAATCTGAGTTAATTTTATTATTTCATTATATAAAACCACCTCGTTTTTGCTAAAGCATTGTACCATGCAGTATAATACATTGAATTACATTTTTTGAACACAGTATATATCTCATATTTATACCATTGTAGTTACAGAACTTTCATTATCCAGTTTTAATGACTTATATGCCTCTCATTCCTTTTATTCTGCCAGAACCAAGCGTATCGTTGTATATCCGGAATAAGTCTTCATTCCTTTCTAATGTATGCATTAGATGTTATTTAGGAAAAGATTCTTCAGTTGGATGGAATTAAATTGTATACATTAACAAAGTGTAAACAGCTTTTGAAATGGTTAGCATGTGCGAAAGATAATTAAAGTGTACACAAAACAAAATGAGTTCATTTCAGCACTAAGTGTTCAACATTAAAACAAATCAGTTTCTTTCCTTGCCACCTTTGAAATGTAAACAGAAGATTTTCATCAAGAAAATCATTTAAAAAATGTTTGTTTGTGTATTATTCCACCTCAATAATTGTGTAGAAATTCAAATATCAGTAATCACACTAACAGTCAAATTTTAATTATAACTGACATACTACTGCCAGTTGCCCTGATTCAGATTCATTCAACTTATGTTCTCTCGGAAAAAATTAAAGGGCTACACGCTTCATGTGTGTCGGTGGTTCAGTGATAGAATATTCTCCAACCATGCAGGTTGTCTAAGGTTCGATAATCGGTTGATGCACACCTTAACCTTACTTAGCCAGTGGTGAGACCGGTAGTGAGGAAAGGTCGGGTGAGAGATTAACACCCCCAATCCCACCCCAAAAACACCACTGACAGTGAAGTTTCGAAGCTCTTGTTTGAAACCCTATGTTCCACTGGGAGTGCAAAAGAATTAAATAATAATAGATATAATTTGCACGCTTCATTCTTGTTAATTTCTGGATGATTTTACAAATTCACATTCATTCTTGTTAAAATATTTTGAGCTGCTGTTAAGGAGTTATGGGAATAATTCAGTTGAAGCTGGGAATTCATTTCATAACCATATATACTTATTTTCCGATTTTGATGATAAATTTTTAAATCACTGCTTGATATTTTCGACCAATTAGTCAGTCTTCCATTGCTCATCAGATAGGCAGGATTAAAGGTACTCTAAAGAGACATCTTCAAGTGATATAACAATCCGGGTTCTCAAGTGGGACCTGAATAAGAAGCAATATCTTAGGTGTCGGTCACAAGGTGATAGGGAGAAGATCATTTGAAGACAACATGCAAGCTTTTAGGTAGTCATAGAGATTGTTGAAGATGAGCGCAGAGAATAGAGTGCAATAAGATGGTGTAACTGAAGCTTTATGTCCCACTCAGAAAGCAACGGACGAATAATCATAATAATAATAATTCGGTGTGTATAGAGATGCTAATTCAGGTGGAAATTACGGGATATCATAAATTGCTTAAACAGTCGATTTTACTTGAGAAAAAAAGACCCATCAGTGCAAAGGTATCAGTTGTTTCAAGTCATCTTAGACGAGCACACTCTCTGATAACGGATGAGCAAGAAAAAGAAGAAGAAATATCAAACATTACTGAAACTCTCAAGCAAAACAACTACCCAAGGAACTTCATCAACAAAACCAACACTGATATTAAGTATGGTATAAAACATATTGCGAAAACATGGACCTCAACAGTTGTCATTCCATATAGAGCGGAGACACCAGACGATATCGGAAGAGTACTCAATAAGCTCGACATCAGAGTTGTTTTCAAAACACCAGACACACTGTGAAATAACCTTGTCCATTTAAAAGACCAAATCCCTAAAAATTCTCTGTCTGATTGTGTCTATAAAATAGAATACTTAGAATTTGATGTGATATACATCGGAAAAGTATCTCGAGAAATCAAAATCAGAAGAGCATCTCTTCGACCACCGAGAAATTCAGCTGAACTGAAGAGTTTAAAAATCATCAGCCATAGGTCTACACGCTATAGAATCAGGCCACAAAATTGATTTCGACAACACTGAAATATCTAAAACACTTAGTCCCTTTTATAAATTTGGATAGTGTTATTAGAAGACGGAGATTATCTGAAAAATGTGGTGCATTTGCGCTATACATTTCGAACATTCTCATCACACATTTATTACTCGAAACCTACCTTGGTAATCCCTATTTGATTGGATTACCAAACGTTGTGATAATCATTCTTAAATCTTTTTTGTCATTTTGTTTAATTTAATTGCCCGTTATTATTTCATATATATATATATATATATATATATATATATATATATATATATATATATATCGACTTGACAAGTAAATGTGTGATCAGATTGTTCGAAATTTATAGCGCAAATAAATCACATTTTTTAGATAATCTCCGTCTTCTGATAACACTATCCAAATATTGAAATAATCCAGAAAAATGTCAGAAATCACTAAGAACCTCCGATATATTAGAAGCAAGCACTTCATATCGAATGGAATCCAATATGAATGATGGACTAAAATAGAATTTGACCTGGTTGCACAACACCCTCCCCCTCTCGTGAAGTGATAATATCAACACGAATGTGATAAGCAATTTCATTATGTAAACACACGCTGTTTTTATAATTTACACACTTATCAAATCCAACAGTCTACACCTGGCTTTGTTGTCTTTACCGATTGGCCATTTTGACAACGAAAAATAACCTCCTAACCACTATGCCACCGACGCACAGTGGTTAGGACTCTCGCCGAACATCCACATGGTCCGGGGTTCGAGCCTACACTGACGCACACCTGATAAATATGGTCGGCCTGTGAAATTTGGGCTACCGATATCCATGCTGAAAATTCCATACTTGTACCAAAAATACGGTGTGGAATCAAGCTGTAAACAAAAAAAAAATAAAAAAATTAATATATCCTTTAATTCCTAGAGGAACATAGGGCTTCAGCCGTGCGTCTCCATTGCCTTCGGTTTTCTGCCAACTTTTTCACCCCGCTCCAAGTCTGCCCACACGCTTTCATCTCCTCTTCACATCACCTCCTCCAAGTCATCCCACCCTTGCACTGACGACCAACTCGCCGCCCGCTTCCCTTTCGGGTTCCACTCGAGCGATGGCTTGTCTAGTGATGTCACTGACTTGATGGTTTCCTCAGAGTATGGCCAGCCAATCCACCTCCATTTCTTCCTGAATATTTGTTTCAAAATCGGTTCCTGCTGGGTTGGTTCGCTCATTTCCAGAGATCCCTGTTTCTGATCTTTTCTGGCCAGCCATCTGATCTTGAGTGGTATTTAGCAAAGACAACTGTTAATGAAGGTCTGTAGTTTGTTTGAGATGCTCTTTATGACGCGCAGTGCAAGTCTCTGATCCATCCGTATAGTAGCACTGACTGACTTCACATTGGAGTTGAAAATCCGGGTGTTATTTTTGATTCTGAGTGCTGTGTTGACCTCCACAGAGACTTGACGTGTGTAATGAAAGCTTGTCTTGCTTTTCCGATTCTGGCTTTGATATCCTCGTCAATTCCGCCCGACTGTAGTTGAAACGATACTTCCCATGTCGGTAGGTAAAGGAGGTTGTTTCTTTCAGGTTCCTATCATAAACAGGTTGCTGTAGAAAATCCTGGTTTAATGATACTTTGATAAAGCTATTAGCATTAAATAGACAAACGTCAGTAAAAGCAGCAATATTGTTTTGTTTTTCATTCATTGGGAAATACAAAAAAACTGTATTATAATGAATATCATATACCCAGTGCCCAAATTTTTTCAAACTGTTAGAAGTGAACTTGGTTTGGATATATAAATATATATATATATATAAGACCACATCTAATCAAAAACTTTCTTAACTACCTTTTTAATACACGTGAATATAATCCAGTTAAATTTGGACCTAATTGTTCCATTCCATAGTGTTTTGTTTTTCCATCAATTGATGTTCGATTCAATCCTTCAGGTTGTGAACGTGATGTATGATGACCATTCAATAGATAATTAGTACGTTCTTTAATTTCACATTTTTGATAATTTTCAATAAATACACTTAACCATGCAGCATGAAATGGCCAATGTATTAAAAAGCATAACCATGTGGCAAGTGTATTCAATGATGGTTCATTAGTAAAATATTGTAATGCATTTAGATAGGCTAAATTTTTTTGACTACTCATATAAATTGTACGTTGGGTGTACAATCGATCCAACTTTATCATTCGTCCTAAAAATAGAAATATCTCATTTAATGGAGAGAGAGAGAGAGAAAATATAGAGGAAATGAAGGTTAAGCAGATATTTTAAATAATTAATTGGAACAGATGGGTTTTTATTTATTTATTTATTTATTCTTTTTATGAACAAATATCATTGGTTCTGTTCGAATAGATATCATTTTGCAGTGAAAAAAAGTATTATGAATAGAAAGAAATAAAGTTCTCATTGTATTAAAAAGTGATTATTTAAAGAGAAGATATCATTAACATTGATAACAGTTTAATTAAATCAACATTTGTCATTTTTAACATGAACACACTGTAAAACATTTACAAACTCTTAGTTAAATAAGAATCAGCTTTCTCTATCAGTATAAATTAAAGAAGACGTTGATTTATTTTAAAGGAAATTATTATCCTAATGCAATTAATTAGGAAAGAAATTTAAAAAAAAAGTGATTAATTACAAAGTGATAGATAGAATAAACCGTTTGTGAGTAGATTGATTGATCACTTAAGGCAGAAAATTAATATTCTTCTGTATGGTCTTGTAAGTCATTACTGAATTATATATCAATCAAGTCCGCAGACATTCAGTTGCAGGTGTGTGTGTGTTATTTCTGACTGATAGAGTTGGTTGTTTGAAGGCAATCAAGGCAAATGATTATCCTTCACTTTTGTAAAAAAAACACAACGATATGGCACACTTTCACATCAAGTTGTAGTTATATACAGGCTATCATGGGGAAATATAAAACGTATATAAACTAGCGTGAAACTCAGGTCTACGAGGTTTTGATTCCAGACCAATGTATATATTCATTGGTCTGGTCTATAGACATAAGGCAGGGCTAAAAGCGAAGAAACCCTGGAAATCCCAAATAGAAAAACAGACACAAAGTTTGCTATTATTATTCATTATTATTGTCCCCTTGGGTTCCCAGTAGAATAGAGGGCTTCACCAACACATCTCCACTTTTTTCTGTCTTTCGCTGTCCTCCTCACCTGAGCCGACAGTTTCCCACAATATCTAATCCCCTCCTCACATGATCTCTTCCATATCACCCTACGAAGCCCCTATTGGTCATTTCTCAATCGCATGCCATTCAAGGGCCCGTCGCGCAATGTCATTCGACGGTCTCCTTATTATCTACCCAATCCATCTCCATTTTCTCTTAAATATTTGTTAAGCGATTGGCTGTTAGTTGACTTGCTGCCACAGTTTCTTCTCATTAATTATTTCTGACTATTTGATCTTTAGTAGAGAACGAAGGCAGCTATTGACATTAGTCTGGTGTGACTTAATGGAATTTATTTTCATGACTGATACGCAGTGCAAGTTTCTGACCCGTATAGAAGAATTGACTGACTAACTTTATATTGGTGTTGAAAATCTGAATCTCCTTCTTTGTGCTGGCTGAGTGCAATGTAGAAGATTTTCAGATTGGTTTCAGGATGATGAAGGCGTATCTTGCCTTTTCGATTCTGACTGCCTTTGAAATATTCATCCGTTCTGTTGGCTGTGGTTGAAACGGTGCTTCTTGTCTGGATAAGTGAAGAAAGTAACCTCTGTTAGATCTCTCCCGTTGGTGGTGATTGGTAACGGTTGTTGTTGTGAGTTGGTTGGTTATCTGCATCACCTCCGCCTTCTCTATGTCCACATGGAGTTCCATATTCACTGCCTACCTCTGCAGCTAGTTTGTTAGTTTTCGCTAGTAAGTCTTCGAGTTTGTGTGATATTAGACATAAATCATCCACATGCGAAATCCAAATGTTCTCAAGTCTTCTTATTGGTGTTCCAGCGTATTCCTGTCTTCTCACTCCCTATGCACAGTCTGACTCATAATTAAGTCCTCCCAAAGTTAAGATTATCATTAGTAGTAATAGATAGCTAGCTTATCTTACTCCTAAATTCACTTTGAACACCTCACTGAGTCTCTCATCGTGGATCACCTGACATGTGCCATTCTCATACGGCTCTGTTGGATGAGGTTGATAAACATTTGGGCAGTGCACGCCATAGCGTTGGAGTAGTTTCCGAATTATTTCTTGGTCAACACTGTTTGTTGAAGTCTTTTTCGAAATCGATAAAGTTTGACTGCCAAAAGGCAGAAAAAAGTTACCTGACTATCTGTATCTTGAGATTCTGATATTTGACACGGTGTTAACAATCTATGTTCAATTTCACTGCATATTTATTGAAAGCCAAGCGGCATCGGGTGGCGTTTCACCTCAGTTTTGGGACTTTCTACAAGTAGGCATCAAGTAGGCCCTTCAGGTTATAAGATGGAGGACGTGTTGCTGATAACAGCAAAGTTAATCAACCCCCCTACTGACTCAGAACCTGAAATTATGTTCAAGTTATGCCAAGTTATACTGTTCAGATCATTCTAAACTGTTTCGGTAATAACACTCTGTTTTGAAACTTAATCACTTACCCATAAAAGCAGTTAGTGTTAAAAGATGACGAAATTTCTTCTTATTGAAATGTGATAGCTCATGATTGCCAATATACATATCTGTTAAAGATTTTGGCTGAGAAATATCGTTTTTTGTTTCCTAAGAAAGTCAAACAAAACAAAAGATAAGGAGCACATCATTCCAATTCAATTTAAGTGACTATGTATATATAGAGCGTCAAGCGAGAGCCTCATGGTTTCGGTAGTAGTGCTACTTATTTTTACGGGATGCGGTTGATAGTCTCATACCCAACCTTCCCTCTTTGCCAGTCTTATTGTTGGCTTAGCGAGGTAAAGGAACTTACCAACAGGAGATAGAACCCCGGACCCCCTGCGTGGTTGGTGAACATTCTTCAGTTGTGTCACTGACGCTGCCTTCTATTTTTCTTCCTCCTTCACGTTCCCCAGTGGAACATAGGGCGGCTTCAAGCTAGTGGCTTGAAGTTTCTGAAGCAGTGTTTATTTTACAGGATGGGGTTGCTAGCCTCATCCCCAATCTTTCCTCTTTACCAGCATTATTTCTGTCTCAGCGAGGTAAAGGAGTGCGTCTGTGGCCAGAAATCGAACCCCGAACCATGTGCATGGTCGGCGAGCGTCCTAACCGCTATGCCATTGGCACTCTACCTTCTATAACACACTCTAAAATCTAAATTATAATTAAATGCTTATGCTGTATTAAATGGTGAGAACTACATAAAGATATGAATATAAATGCAACAAAATTACATCTTTATTTAATAAAATTTAACATCTATAACATTTCCAAGTATTAGGTTTACATAAACATAGTCGATATGAAAGTGAGGTTCTTTGGGAAGCCAAATCTATTAGAAAACAAGTAAAAATTAGACAGTATTAGTCATCCTTTCTTAGCCTTGAACCTTCTGTCAGTGTCCAACCCAGACGTCAAGAGCTGACCATCATCAAGTTTGGAACTGTACAAAAAGGAACCAATCGTTGAAGCTTTTCAACTTTCACTGACTTGATAGTGTCATTCACAGTCAACATTAAGTGACTTAAAACTTAACCAACTTAAGTGATAATTTCTCGCTAAACTTTTAAAAAATTTCTCTCTAGTTTTCATTAGCAGTAAGTGGACAAAAACGCTAGATTTAAAGAGTTTTGAATACTTTTGTTGTGCACAGGCTGCCAGGCTGACCAGAAAATCACTGAAACGATAGTGCATTGATATTGTGTTTCGCGCGGGTTTATAAGTCTTCATATTTTAAAACCAGAGTTATAATTTATTTTTATTTTGCTTATATCTTGAAACCACACAGTATTTTTTTGGTACAAGTATGGAATTTTCAGCATGTGATATCGGTAGCCCAAATTTCGCAGGCCGACCATTGATATCAGGCGTGCGCCAGCAGGGGATCGAACCTCGGACCATGTGCATGATCGGTGAGAGTCCTAACGGCTGTGCCACTGAAGCACAAATTATAGCCATTTAGCCGGTAGAGCGGGTTTTGAAATTTTGAAATTCAGTATACAAAGTCTTATATTCGATAGCAATTTGCCGTAACATGAATTTATGGTTGATGACAAAATCGAATCTAGCATGACGGTTAGCATTCATGTTAATGTTAATACAATACCATGTGATACCATTTTGTTTGTGTTCAATCGTATATATAGCACTTATAGTTTAACCAGAATGTGTTTTCACTTCATTTTTTCAAGCTTCACAGTTAACATTTATCTAATAATAACCTGAGTTTTACCTTAATGTCAAATAGTACAACTTTATCAGTCAAGTAAACGCTGACATTTAAAATAAGAAAAACATCGTTTTGAAGCGATCAGAAACTATGCTAATTGTTCTACGTCTAACCATGACTTACTTTCATTAACTTGGAAGATATTTTTGCTTTGTTCTAAGCATAGTTTAAGCCTTGTTAGAATTTTATTAGTGTATGTGAACTTCAGATGGTTTGTACAGGTTTCTATAAATTATATTTCTATGAACTCTTTTTAATGGATGAATTCTGTCAGTAATCAGAAGTTAAGTACGATACAAACGACAAATTTTGTTAAAATTCCTTAAGTTAATTACGACGGCTAAATTATCAATCCAATAACTTTTGAGAAAAGTATCCTTCAGTCGCCTGAGTAATAAATGCGAAAAGCTTTGCAATACTAGTTCTTATTTGTTGGAAGTTAGAAATTCCTACAGTAAACTGTGTGATATCAAACACTGACCAGTAATATCTGTTTAATCTTGATTGCATTTATAGGCGAGTTCGCACATCATTTTTTTTAAATTCAGACTATACATTACATTTTTTATTGAACACTTTAACAGCCTGATTAAATGACTATAAACTGGAACGATCGATTGTGCTTTGGTGGTTCACTGGTAGGACACACGCCAACAACACACGTTGTCTGGGTTCGATTCCCAGCGGACGCACTCCTAAACCTCACTTAGCCGGTAGTATGCCGCATAAAGAGGGGAGGTTAGGCGAAAGTCATTCTTTACTCAATCACCGTTGATTTCAAAGATAAAGCTACTAAGATATATGAATGTTTTGATGTAGTTGTGTTCTCTGAGCTGGATGGTTTTTACTTGTGAAGCTCTCATCGTCTTACTAGACAACATCCTCAGAGCATACTTTGATTCGAAAGGAGCTTTTACATTTCTAGACGAGTTTATTAGTCATCTTTCCTGGTGACCTGGAACGTGTTTGTTGTTTTTGTCTGTTTTAACACCCTCTAGTCAACTTATTTTGGTATAAATATATAACTTGGGCACTGTGGTAGATTAAATATCACTGTAAAACACTTTGTGATTTATCAAAATAAAATCTTATCCTTAATGGAGTTATGCTTATACTGGTATTGATTGTTTCCTTAAATTGAAGTTAGACTTTTTGTGAATGAGATATTCCTCTAATGGATTGGTCAATGTGCCTGTTAATTGGCGACTCACTGAAATACCAGGCTTCTAAAAGTTCTCTAGCATTCTTGGTGTTTCCTTTACCTAATATCTGAAAGTTGTCCAAGTCAAATTGATTTTCATGTCTGTCTGTATGCAGTGGTACGGGGTAGTGGATGCCATGTCTCTTGGCGGTTAGTTTATGATAATTTTTCTTTTTTTTCTTTTTTTTCTTTTTGATTACAGCTTGATTCCACACTGTATTTTTGGTACAAGTATGGAATTTTCAGCATGGATATCGGTAGCCCAAATTTTGCAGGCCGACCATAGATATCAGGTGTGCGTCGGCGAGGGCTCGAACCCCGGACGATGTGCATGGTCGGTGAGAGTCCTAACCACTGTGCCACCGACGCATCATGGATATGAAGACAAAGAGGGCGCCCAATTTGATCAATTTATTGTTTTCGCAGTCATTGCAATTTATTTTGTAGATGGTCTTATCTTCTTTCGTTGTTGAGTCTTTTGGTTAACACATGCATGAGTGAAGTGATTTTGTTGGTTTGCGTGCCACATCAATTCCAAAAGGTGAAAAGAGTCTTGCAGGGATTTCGGAAACGTCCTTTATATATAGTAAGATGATTTTCTTTGTGTTTTCCTTGGGGGTCTTTAAAGTGGTTGGTTGGTTTGAGGGCAACTATCTTTTGATGAAGTTTCCTGGATATCCATTCTTTTGGAAGATGTCCATGCGATATTTTTCTTCAATTTTCCCTAAAGTAGGAGTGCTGCAACGAGAGCCAGGACTCACTGACACATATAAAATCTACCAATTTATAAGAGGGAAACCTAATGCACAAAAAGTTAAACTTCGGGTCAAGAAAACAATTAATACTAATACTAGTAGACTAGAGGGTGTGAAAACAGACAAAAACAACAATAATAATCACGTTCCAGGTCACCAGAAGAGATGACTAGTAAACTCGTGGAGAAATATGTAAGCTCACTTCGAATCGAAGTATGCTCTGAGGATGTTGTCTAGTAAGACGATGAAAGCTTTAAAAGTAAACCGTCCAGCTCAGAGAACACAACTACATAAAAATCGCACACCTCAGCTACAAATCTTCCCTACTATTTACATAGGTGTTCAGGTGACTGTACAAGAACGGGAGAGATGAACACTGTTTCCTCACCAGATATTTGTGAATGACATGAACCAACTCAAATTCAGTCGCTTGTTTCCCCCATCCTTGCCTTTTAAATCTACCTTTCTACTAAGGAAGTTAGCTTTGTGTATAAAAATAGCTATTAACACTATAAACTGTAGTGACAAATAATAAATTTAGTTTAGATTTCAAAAACGAAAGCATAATTCATTGTGGCAGCATGTGTTTATATAGACCGGAATTAATAGTGTAAATGTTTTTGTCACATGATAAACAGTTTAAATGTAACTTACGTGTGAATGTTGTATATTTGATGCTGATCTTGCAGGACTAATAAACGACTGTTCACTGATTTGATCACGTATACTAAATCCAGTGGGTTCATCTTCTATGTAAATAGGTAAATGACAAAGTTGGTGGATATAGTGCCAAATTTTAAAATTATACACACACGATGGATCCAGTGATGATAATCTTAACGAGGAAGACATTGAATTCATTTGCTTAGGATCACTTACATGATGTGAGTTGACTGTAGTAGGTATTCTTGAATCCTTATTGGATATACCTGAGATGTTGGCGGTCACAATCACAACAACATTAGGCATCCAAACATATGGTGGAACATCATTCATTACTTTTTCAGGAGCACCCATAGGAGCAAGTATTAAAGGAACATCATAACTTTTGCCACCACTTGGAGGTTTCATTAAAACATGATCTAATAAATGCATAAAATCCAATAACTTTTTATTTGTAGAAGAACTTTCTAACACACCACTTTTTCCACCAACGCATATTATCAAACGAGTTTGTCGACCACCGACTCTACGGTCTAACATTGACAATACACAACAAGCATCCAGTATATATTGCCTTAAAAGTTGCTCATTTTTCTGACGTTCAACAGATATTGTCTTTCTACGCTTATTATTGTCCACTGACTTTGAATAATCTTTATCTTGATGAGGAATGGACGAGTGCTTTTTACCAAACATAATTTTATAATTTGAATTCGGAATGTTTTGACCACTTATCAAAAATTCTCCAGAGTTGAATAATAGTCCATCATTTCGAGAAACATCATCTTCTTCTTCAGGAGTACTATGTTCACTTGAATCGGACTGTTTAGATTCATCACTGGAGTCCTCATTCTCATCATCGTCGTCATCATCATCATCATTGTCGTCATCATGGCAGCTGGAGGTACTAACTATTTTTGTGTTGATATCATTCAGATTAGTTTCTAGATCGAATTCATTCTGTTGATTATGATAATAATGACAGTGGTTATGATCATTCATTTTTGTGTTTCCTATTTGTCTCCAGTGTCGATCGGCTGCAGTGACTGCTGCCGCGGCAACTGCAGCAGCCATAGATGCAGTAGAAGCCAGTTTATTAGGACTGCATAATAACTGTCGTGTACCATTGTTTCCTAAGTAGAATTAGATTAAAAGGAAGAAAGATGATATTAACTTGTTATTTGTAAATGGGAATAAAAATTTGCTAGAATCTATTTCTGATTTTACTTTAAAGTTATAGGATAGTTAAGAAAAGCGTCGGTGGCACAGCAGTTAGGACGCTCGCCGACCGTGCATATGGTCCGGGGTTCGATCCCTGGCCACTGACGCATCCCTTTACCTCTCTAAGCCAGAGATAATGCTGGTAAAGAGGAAAGGTTGAGTATGGAGCTAGCAACCTTATCCTGTAAAATTAAACACTGCTTCAGAAACTTCAAGCCAACTTCAAGCTTGAAGCCCTATGTTCCACTGGGAACGCGCAGGAAAAAAATAGTTAAGGAAAAGAAGAAATCTGAAAACAAATTAAATTTGTCCACTTGAATTAGTCTTTTGATGTGGTTGTGTTCTCTGAGCTCGATGGTTAATTCACGAAGCTTCCATCACCCTACTAGGTGATATCTTCAGCGCATACTTCAATTTCATGAAGTGAGCTTTTAGATTTCTTCACTAGTTTATTATTCATCTCTCCTGGTGATCTGGGATGTGATTGGTTGCTTTCGTGTGTTTTCACACCTTCTAGGCAGCTACTTGCATTGGAACTGATTGTTTCTTTGACTTGAACTTTGACCCTTTGTGTGTGAGGTTACTTTCTCATCAGTTGATAAATTTTGTCTATCTCTATGTGTCTATTGATTGATGATTCAGTGGAATACTAGGCTGGCTTCTAAATATTCTCTAGCATTCCTGTTGTTTCCTCTGTCTAATATTCGAACACTGGTTGTCCCAGTAGAATTGATGTCTGTGGTTGTCTGTATGCAGCTAGTGATATGAGCGAGGGAGTGGATATCATGTCTTTTGACGGCTAGCTTATGATCGTGGATACGAAGACGAAGAGGAAGGGACGTCGACTTTGGCCAATGTAGTGTTTTTCACAGTTGTTACAATTTATTTTGTAGATACTGATGTTGGTTTTATCTTCGTTTGCTGTTGAGTCTTTTGGTTGACGTAGAATTGAGTTAAGCTCAGAGAACACAACCACATCAAAATTATCCAGCAGAGGTACAAATCTTCTCTACCATATCTGAATTGGTCTTTGTCAGATGTGTTTCAAGTAGTCGGTTGTATTATATATTTAGCCTTTAGGAATATTCATGACCTGGTATTTTCATGGTATTATAGTAGATACTATTCTAGGCATTTTCATTACTTAGAATCTGAATTGAACTGATATTTTTCTTATAATTCATGGGATGTTATCATCCTTTGATCCAGATTCATATGTCAGAATATTTATAAATATTTCGGAGGATTCAGTTACTGCACAGCCATTATTACGTGTGCTTTCCATCTGTTGTCATGTATTGAACAAGTAACCAACTGTAAGATATGAGTTGTGTATCGCCTCATTCTAAGAACACTATATAAAGTCCTTTACTTAACGACAAGGGTAGAAGGTTTAGCCGTTAAAAATCACCAAAAGTTATAGGTGGTTTAGTCTTCTATGATATCTTGGTTATATCATACTATGACTGAATTTTAATATTTTGAGTCGTTCGACTTAAATTTTTTAACAGCTTTCCTTAATAAACATTGAAATTCTGAGTTAATATCCTGTATGACCTTGTGTCCCAGTCGCCTAGGAACTAGCTAATAAAACTTGGAAGTTATTCACTACTATCCAGAGTAGTTCACTACCTCTTGTCAATTCAAAGTGGGAAATATAAAAATATAAATATAAAAATGTCAGTGTTATGTCAATTCAAGAAAAAAAACATGTCATTAAATTAGTGTTCTCTAGAAAACAGAGACTTAAGTAAAGTACGAATTAGTGCGACAACCGCTTATTATGAAAGAGGCTACAGTCAGTTTCTAGGTGATGATGAGTTCCTGCGTCGGCTAGTTATATGTTTTCGTGAATTCGTTTTCCATTGAATTTTAAAGGTTTTTCTGGATGTTTTGTTCATTTTGCAGTGTGTAGGTCAGCTTTTGTCACTGGGTGCTACTATTTAGCTTATTTTTAGCCTGAAGTTCACAGTTATTATGTTGGTAGTCAAGGTTTATGGTAAACCTGCAATCATTGAGCTAATTAACGTATACTATGCTAATATAGTAACATATACTATGCTAATAATAGTAACAGTAGACTCCCTTACTGTTTTGCCATTGTTTGACAGTGAACCTGTGCACTGATTTTTCAGCATGAGTGGCACTAAATCGAACCTACTGGGTTTGCTTATCAACGTTGTTTCAGCCCTCACAGGACATATTAAGGATGAACTAGCGTTACTCCAGAGTGGAAAGTTTTGATTCAGCACGCAGCTGTCTTTTTAAGCACGACCTGTGTCATTTCATAACATGGTGGGTAAATATGATCTTCAGTTACCATAAAAAGGCATTATCGAGGAATAGGTTAGAATAAATTTAGAATTGTTTTAAGCTTGGTGGTGCTGTGGTCTAAGTGGTAAATCGTATTAATCACCGTTATTCAGGATATGCCATGAACCGGAAATCCTCAGCTGAAAAACGTATGAATAAGACACAGGTCGGTGTAATTTATAACTGACTCCAAATTGCTTTCATCACGAAATAATCAACCAAAGTATGCTTTAAACTGTCGCTCTCAACCGTTTGAAGGGAAATTTACTTCATTTATGCTGACCTAGTATGCACAAATCCCAAAGGTCATTGAATTGAAAAACTTAAAAAAGTAGATTAGTTAATACATACATTTATCTATATGTACTAATTAAGGATACATTAAATTTTTAGAAATTGTAGTTAAATTTTATTCGCCTAGTAATCAAAAATGCATACATCCTATTTTGGGCTTAAAATAAATGCATCGAAATTATTGTTGATTTATATTCAGTTACTTAGTAACTGTCTATAGACATTCTCCACTCATACCAAAAAAATTAACACGCCATTATATAATGGTAAGGTAAGCCCTAAATCAGACTGACTGTAAATTTCCGTGTCAAAATAAAAAGATTACCGCTTTAACTTATATTTTAGACCAATAGGAAGCCAGCTAATCAACAGCCAATCAAAATCTGCCTATATATATATTTTCCTTATTATAAATACCAGGCCCATAATTTATTTATTAATTAAATCAGTCAGACAGAGTTCAGTTATCCGGTGCAAATATCTCATATACCAGTCGACAAGTCAACATTATTGTGTTAAGCCTGATAATGCCAGCCAATTATCAAGGCTGAAATAGGTGAGGGGGATTCAAATCTGGGACTTAGTAGCTGATATTAGATTACTTAAGTCAGTGAACCACATTTCTGCCTTAAATCCAAACAACAACAACTGAACGCATTGAAATAAAATGCCACCTATCAGTAATGATTAAACATTTTCTAACTAACTAGCCACTTCATGATTGATAGCCATGTTAATCAAAATGGTTTGGAATTTAAGATAAAAGCTTTTTATGTAAACAAAGTGATATGTTGTCTTACGACGTCTGTTTAAAAGTGCTTTTTGACAAGCAGCTTTGTTTACAATGAAAGAACTCGTAAAATTATATTTCATCTGTTAGACAGCAGACAGTGTTTGACTGCCATATTTACAAATTGAAAGGCAACCATAAATGATGTAAACATTCAGTGCGAACAAACAGAAGAATATTTTTCATGAGGAAATTAGAACAGATGTGTGAATATGTAAAATAATAACAGTGCGAAATGTAATTAAAATAAAAGACCAAAATGACAAATTTCTAAAGCTGGGCACCGATTGGTTGTAAACAAAGCCTGACTCGATCACTTGCCATTCGCACTCAGACCATAGGTAGTCTTCATGCTATAAAGTGTGAGTTACATCTTCTGAGAAAAATCCCAATGGAGAGTGGGTTTTCTCCATGTTTTATAGTCAAGAATATACAGTCACAACCTATGAAAAGTGACTTAACATCTGTGACCCAGGAAGTGCTGTGCATGAACCTTGAATTTGAAGATGACTTAGCCGCTGACATCCTTAAAAGTAGGATCTCACATTCCCTGAAAAGGACATTCGACGCAGCATCGTTGGGAATAGCTTTTTGTAGTTGAACATTACTGTTCAATAAACTCAAGCTGATCAACTCTATGCGCGTTTATCGATTCACCTTATAGTGTGGAGCTAGGCATATCGATCATTTGACTCGGGTGTTTTTCCAAGAGGGTGCAAGAACACTATCTTGCGTGTTCACAAAGAGGTGGAAGTAGGTGTGCAAGGAGAGCAGTAATTGAACATCTGGTCAATACTGGTCACCTGTTCTCTACAACGTTTTCCTTAAAGGTATCTAAAAGGCGAAAAATAATTTTCCCAAATCATTACTTATCCGACTCATCTGGTCACCATCGAAATAGAAAAACCAGATCTCTGAAGACAGAAAAGGTTCGCTCAGCCCCTGCAACTCTCCACCTATGCTAAAGTATGATACTCCCCACTACTACTTTGGCGCTATTTATTTTTCGTTTTGTTCATTCACTTTGTAAATCTCCTTATTATGTCAGTTGTTACTATTATTATTATTATTATTAATTATCACTGTGATCTGTTTCCCGTATCGTTTCACTTGTCCCACTTGTCATTTTAAATCAAAACTTTTTTGCGATGTTAAATTCTATCTTATCAAATTTCACATCATGTAATGCTACCTTTGTATTCGCCTACTAATCCGTTAATTTTATATCTCCTTCCAGAAGAATAGTTTATGTGAGCTGATGACTACTTTGTTGTGATTACCTTCAATTCACACTTGTATCCTTATTGCTCACAGCTACTGAAAGCTGTATGTACTATATTACACAATCTTTGGCAATATATTTTTATAGTCTGATAAATAGAGAACACTTCTGATACGTTGACTGAAATGACAACCTTCTCAAAGATTCATATCCACATCAACTAGCCTCACAATTACAGACATTAAGACTGAATCATCTGAATCGTCAGTACCCTTCTACAGAATTAGTTAATGATTTTTACTAAAGAATCATTTAATACTAAATTGTCTGAGCCGTTCAAATTGTTATTAATTCAGGTTAGTCATTATAAGGATGAAATTTTAATTAACGTTGGCTTGTTATATTGTATTTGAGTGGTTAGAATGCAAACTTTTATTGATAGGATTCATTTAGCCATGAACCACGTAGAAAACAACACTAATTTACAGTGGCCGCCCAATATATATATATATATATATATATATATATATATATATATATGGAGAGGAAAGGCTCAAGTGTGCGCAACCAGAGATGTATCACTTCATTTTCAAGTAACTTGTTTATATGGAGGATTTCATCATGAGCTGACATCAGTTAGAGAACCATTGGAAAACCACCTGGGAGTACTGAACAGATGTTTCGTCAGCCTAGTTTGGGACTCTTCAGCAGTACGCATCCACCGGGGATCGAACCCAGGACCATCTAGTTACAAGGCAAGCTCGTAGACCATTGAGCCATTGAGAGCCGATCCAATGGACATTGAATTCTAACTTCTACCAACTTGATTATTCTAATTTATGAATAATTGAAACACGCACATTTACACAGCATAGAAACTTGGACATATTTTTTTGTGCGTAAACTGAACAGAACACAACTGAATAAAACAGAAAAAGCCGAAATTTTTGTATTTTAGAAAAATGTATGCAAAATGTTCTTGTAGACAGAATAACCTTTATGTGAAAGTGAATTCAACACTGAGAACAAAGCAGAATTTATTTACCCATAATATGACATTCCCCTTTTTTTCTCTGTTTTATATACTTACGTAGAAGAAATATGACAATGATAGATTTGAAAACCACATAAACACATTGCATGACTTTCTAGATATATTGTGTTATTTAGTTTAAAACGAAAATGTCAACTATATGGTACTATCTGATTTTCTAAACTGTAAAATATCTATTCACCCATTTGATGTCCTACGGTGATATCAATATATGCATATACGTGATTTTATCAATTTAAAAGTAGGGTAGGAGTGTAATACTCTTCAATATAATAATCAGTCACTAAATAATCGAAACAGGATATGACATTTTATCGTGTGAGTAGTTATCTAAGATGGATCAAAAGGGGGGTAATACTACACTTTAATATCACTGCTGTTTGTCACTGTTCTGTGTTTATTGGATTTTAGTCAACTCTATAGTCATCAGAATTTATCAGATTGTAAGTGTCAGTTGAAGCAGAAAGTAAAATACCGCTTCCAGTAATAATCACTACAACAATCAAACAACTTGGAGGACAGTTCTCAGTCGGTTTCCCACGTAGACCCTATTCAGACACACACACAAAGGAGCCTAAATAAGAGAGAAGAGTTGAAAATCTACTGATAAGAAGTTTTGGATAAAATCAGAAATATACAGAAGTAGGTTATACCATATGGTAGAAAGCGAAGGGAATTCAATGAAAATCTTCATTACAGGAAGAATATATGTGTACCGTTTTCATAGGGGGCTTATGATAAATTATTGTTATTGATTAAAGTTCTCTCAGCAAGCTGTGCTAGCTGTTCGTGTTATCATCTGACTTAAAGATTGTGTCTGCACCTTACAAAAAGGTGAAATTAGCTGACCATTTAGTGACACTTCATAGCATAATAATTTATATCATGCAACAAATTTCAAATTGATTTGATTCAATGTTTTTTTTTCTATTCCTTTACTTTCCCAGTGGAACACAGGGCTTCAAGTTACATGCTTGAAGTTTCGATAGCGGCGGTGATTTTTTTGAGGTTGCTAGCCTCATACCCAACCTCCCTTCTTTACCAGTCTTATTAATAGTGTAGTGAGGTAAAGGAGTACGTCATGTGTGTGATTCACTGTGTCGTAGTATAAACTGTGGTAGGAAATATATGTGACTAGGGATTATTGAATCAGAGTACTTATCACTTAAGTTATATAACTAAAAGACTAATTCATGAATTATGCCTTAGTTTTCCCTTCATCCTACACTTGTGAATAAAGTAATGTGATGTCAACAGGCGCTGTCTATGTTAGCATATGTTAAGAGGTATTTGCCAAACAAACCTATTCAATGTTTCAAGTGTCAATTTACGTACATTCAGTAATGAAGTATTTATTACTCTTCTACACAACAAATGAATATTTCTCAAGTAGTATTTACAAAGTTATTTTAATAAAAGTTATTCACTAAAAATAAACTGTAAGATTAATCAGAGTCTGATCTACTTTATTCACACCAAAATCAGATAGCAGAACTATTTAAAAACCATGAGGCATGGCAACATTATTGTCAAATATACAGTCATTTAATGGGAATTCAGGGCTATTGGTGAGCATCTACTCCAACATCCAATTTGGTGGATTATTCCTTCTTAGCCTCACTACCACAATTTGTTTATCTCGATTTATTGACTCTTCTTGTCACAAACCCATGGAGTAGCTGAAGTTGAGGCTAAATTACAAAATCCTGAGACCTTATTTAATTTCTTTCTGTCTGTCTGTTTTCGACATAGAACTTTTCACAAATGTGCGGCAGTTCAAGTCACCACACTCCGTGTAGCACGCGAAGCAAGAGAAGAAAGTACAAGAAAAGCATAGTAGAAACAGTGAGCAGATGTGTGAGACAAAGGAGTGATAAAGAAAAGCAAAACAGTTTCATTGGAGATCATAAGTCACAAGGAGTGGATGCATCTGCGTTAGCCACTGAGAACGATTTTGAGCCATGTCACCAATTGTTTTCAACCATAGATTTTACTGTCTCGAGGACCCCAGCCTGCAACTCTACACCTTTCTACGTGGCCTAGACCAACTGTTGTGGATTTCATTGACTGGTGCCAAGTTTTTGTTTGACCGCCGCTAGCTTTTTTCCAGCCTGACCCTATATCCGCTAACATTGCTCGTCGAGGGAGGCGATGACTTGGCATACGTAACACATATCCTAACCATCTCAGTCTTTGTAACTTCACGACTTCGTCGATTGATTTCCCCTGTTTACCTAGAACTCGACGCCTAACCTCAATATTGCTCACCTTATTATACCACTTCACACGAGAAATAGAACTCAGGCACCTATGATCAAAGACAGCTAGTCTTTTCATGTCTTCCACTCTCAGTGGCCAGGTCTCACAACCATAAAGAAGGACAGAGTGGACTGATGAGCAGTACACCCGCCCTTTGGTCGATAGTCGAACATCTCGTCTACGCCGGAGTCGGCGTAAACTGGCAAATGCGAAACGAGCCCCCTGTATTCGTGCTGAGATTTCGTCAGAGATCAACCCGTTGGCACTGGTTCATAGTACTTCCCAAATAAGTGAAGCGGTCGACGTGCTCTACCCTTTCACTTCCTATTTTTAAACTAGGCGTCGATGTAGTCCAGTCCTGTAACATCATCTTGCATTTGGCGGGAGCGAATCGCATGCCAAACATTCGTAGATTGCGGCTCAAGGTGTTCAGAAGACTCTGCATTTTGTCAGAGTCGTCGCCTAGGAGGACTATATCGTCTGCATATTCTAAGTCAACGAGATTATTCCCTGGTAGCAAGTCAATTCCTGAGTCGCTGAATTCACTTAGGGTTAAGTCCATTAGTACATCTATGATGAAGTTGAATAGAAAAGGGGATAATGGGCATCCTTGACGGACACCACTAGTCTGTCTATTATGAGTTATACTTTACTGTGTGGGAGTTTTACACACCGTGTTACATATATTTTCTAGGATTTTCTCATGAGAAGAATATTATCCGCCTGTGGCACATTGGTTAGGACTCTCGCTGACCATGCACATGGTCCAGGCTTCGATCTCCTGCCAATACACACGTGATATCAATGGTCCACCTGCAAAATTTTGGCTACTGATATCGCATGCTAAAAATTCCATACTTCTACCAAAAAGTATTGTGTGGAACCAAGGGGTAAATAAAAATTTAAAAAATAAATATTAAATAAAAAAATTAAGTATTCAAAATGTTCAGTAAGCGTATTGCAACAAAAGGATATACTTTACAATACACCACAGTGAGTTCAACCCAAAAAAAAACACCTACCATGTGTAAAACACGTTGTCCCACGTTCTTTACCAACACATTGACCTGTTTCTATACAATTAGGTATTGGATGAAACTTTCTTGCACTGCTACTATAACAACTATCCATTGTTATGTCTGTATAACTTTCTAGATCAGGATAGAATGGTTTTTTAATTGGATGTTGAAATGGTCTACCATGTATCAATTTTAATACACCTGGTGTAATAGCTGCAATCAGTATAATAAAACTTATTCCAGATATAATTGAACAAATAATAATGAGTAATTTGAAATTTTCTGTCAATGAATTTACATCCCCGTCAATTTTTAATGTTGTACTACTGCTGCCGCTGCCATTTTCAATTGTTGCAAATGCATTGTCAATTGCAATCAATGTGGTCATACAAAGCAGAGTGATAGCATTGACAATCACCCAAATACACGATGGAAGACAGCAAACTTTACGGTAGGTTTTTGTTGATTCACCTTGAATTAAAAGAAACAGCGTAATAAATAATACTTTAGGAAAATAAAAAAAATATGATTTATGTACTAGTTATAAATTCTTTTTTTTCACCAAAAGCAGATAATGATAAGAAGGATAGGAAAAAAGTATTTAATCTATATAACTTAATAGGACTTGTAGTCCAGATATTGGATGGTATGAGAGACATCAGCCATTTCATTTATTCATGTCGAAGATTATGGATAGAAATCTATGGACTGCCTAAAGTGCATAAAGAGAATGTCCCACTTCAACCGGTCATAGACATGGTTAACTCACCGTATCACCAAATCGCGAAGCGGCTAGCTGATATCCTCGAACCAGTTAAAAGACATATGACAAAATATAGCCTCAAAGATACATTTGACTTCATCAACTCAGTGAAGGATGTCAACGTGTATGGAATACAAATGATCTCACTAGATGTCGCCTTTCTATTCACAAGTATCCCTCTAACGGAAACAATATGCTTCATTTGTAATTACATCGAAGCCAACAACATAGAAGTTCCTCTCCCCATAAACTACCTGAAGAAACTTCTTCTCAGATGTACATTCGATATCCAGTTTAAATTCAATGAACAGTTCTATGTACAGAAAGATGGAGTAGCCATGGGTTCTCCTCCCGGCCCATTCCTAGCCGACTGTTTCATGGTGAGTCTTGAAAACAACATCCTTGATCCCTTGATAAGTAAACTGCACTTATACAAGAGATACGTAGATGATACATTTATAATCTGTGGTGAAAAATGTGGTTTAGATTCTCTCCTCAAAACCTTCAACGCAGCGCATCCATCAGTAAGATTCACCTTAGAACGCGAATCAAACAACTCATTTCCATTCTTCGATGTACTACTCACCAGAAGACACAACTGTACGATCCAAAGATCGATATACCGTAAGTCAACACGGACTGGACAGTTAATCAACTTCCAGAGCCTTGTTTTACTGATCCGAAGGAGAAACTTGGTACCTGCATTGTGGTCAAGGATAAAAAAAATCTGCTCGAAAGACACGGTAGAGAAAAAATTAAATTTATTGCGTGAAACCCTACTAGAGAATGGGTATCCACCAAGATTGATCGAGAAAAGCATGAAGGAGAAGCCTCCGGTGTCAAATATCACAACGGTTCCTAAGAAGACTCTCTTCATCAACCTAGAATTTAAAGGTGACATCGCAGCGGAAATTCTCAGAAACCGACTTTCAAAAAGTCTGAAGAAGACATTCCCAACAGCTACTCTGCGTATAACATTCTCCTGCAGACAGTTAATCCAGTCTAACGTTAAGGACAAGATACCGTTTTTGGCCACTACAATGTGTATTTATCAATTCACTTGCTCGTGTGGAGCAATGTATATCGGCCGTACGCAACGTCAAGTCCACAAACGTATCTTGGAACACTGCACAGCTTGGTTAGCCAGAGGAGAAAAGAAGAATAGCAACAGCTCGATCCTCGAACACCTTGTCATCTCCGCACATCGAGTACCCCTACATGAATGCTACATGTTGGCTACATGGGCTACAATGCTCATTTTAGGAAAGTTATTCGCATTAAAATCATCTTGGTAGAGTATGTCTATGAAAAACTATCAGTGGTAATGTATAAAAGTGTTCAATGTTCCAATGGATTTTCACTTAAGAATAATACACTTAATTAGTGCAAAGAAAGCAGTGATGCTATTGATTTGAATATTACCGATAGTTAAGGTAGACAGTACGTCTTTACAATTGTTTCATAGCTTGTGTAAGGAACTGATTTCAATTATATGATATAGGCTTTTTGTGAGGTTGTCAGTCAAATCAAGTTTGTTGTATGTTGACTAAGCTGATGTTTATGCTAAAGCAGGTGAGATGAGGTGTACAGGTTGGAATTTGCCGGCTCAGTGTGAAAGGTTAAGTGAAAAGAGATAAACTCTGTCTTTTTTAAATTAACAAGACTATCAAAATAAACTATTTAGCCGGTTAGTAAGTCACTGGTATGGTTCTGAAAGGCTGGGCTTATTCTTTCATTATGTACTTAGTTATAAATTATGAGATGGAAATCAGGTAGCCTAATAAGAAGCGAATTTTACACATATTACGTTAGTAGTAGTTATTCCAACGGAAACGCAACATAAGTTGCAACATGAATTAAGAGGGGACAGAATTTGTGAGCTGCTCGGTCGCAAATCAGCTGGGCTCGGAGTCTTAGGGTCCTGAGATTCATGTCTCGTAAAACTACATGTGGACACTGTTGAAGTGACTCAAACCAGGACGAAGTAAGTGTTGTTAGGGCTTCTTGATTTTATTGATTACCTAGGTAATATCATTACTTGACGAAATATGAGGTACCTTTTACAGTTGGAATTCAGTTAACCAATTTTGTCTAAGAGTACTTCCTTCGTATTTAGACACATACTTTACCTGTATAGCTGCTTTATGGAATTGTTGGGGTAAATTTAAGTTTGATGTTATTATTAGCTAATAGGACCGCCAAGATATTGAAGAATAATCATCTGTTCTCTGCGTTTGGAACGTTTCGTGATAGCGCGTGTCTCAATGCAGTTTTGTCAGTTTCTTGCGTTCACGCCGTAACCGAATAAATCTGTTCACTAAATTGTTCTATTTCTCAGATTGAATTTTATACGATGGTATGTGTGAAGTGTGGTGTCACATCTTCATTTCGAGCTATTGTAGATACTGACAACAAGGTAAATGAATAACGATGGCGATACTTTAAACTATTCAAACTAATACATTTTACTCATTATTTACTCATAGGTAGTTTTCTGATTCTTAAGGAAGGCCAACCTTATTTTCACCTAAATAGTAGACTTTATCAAACAGTCTATGAAAGGGAAGGCGTTGAATTGGACGAATTGAGTCATTTATCTTCATAGCCCACATCAAACAGCTCATAGGATCTCTATAACATGAAATAATTTTACCCCAAAGGCTTCTTTTCAAAATGTTATACGGTTCTTATGGTTTACATACACAATAAAGCTCAGTAGAAGCAGAACCGATAAAACGTTACTTTTGCTTTTAACCTCAGTCGAAACAAGTTGTATTTGCGGATATGAGAAAAGGATTAGGAGTATATGAGAGCTGTCGGATTAATCTTTGACTTACCATATACATCTCTGCTTGCCCACTGCAGTCTTACAGCAAGGCGGCCATATTTTTGTTCAATAGAAGTCCACATTTTTGCAGCTAAAAATGCAGCTGCCTCAGTACTCGTGGAGAAATTAGATAAGTTTATGCTGATTGGTAGTAACCTGTGTGGTGTTAATGGAAAGAAAAAGATAAAGATAGACCTGCTTGGATTATTAAAATTCCAGTTTTGTTAGTTAACTTGGTCTCAATCCAGTTATGAAAGTTAAAATAATGTTTCTATTAAATCAGGTACACCTAATTAGAGTTTACTTATGATCTCCATTTTGGAAAAACAAAGCAAAACAGTTGACCTGACGTCACAAGGATAGAATATATATATATATATATATGCGTAGCTTAAATGTGCTTGCCTTCTAGGATTATTGGATGTAATACTGAAACAGCCTTGGACTAGAATTGCGTGTCGATTAGAACTCTTCATCAGGAAGTACTTGCGATCTTGAGGTAACTGGCGTCCTCTCTGACGTCAGCCGTCTCTTCAGAGGCAGACATTACTATTAAGCTATTTGAGTCTGATAAGCATTGGATGAAATGGTTTTGAATCTGACAGGGGTTATCGGTTTCTTCAAGGCTGCAGGTACTTCTTTCCGAGGAGTACCAATAAAAACAGAAAACATAGCTCTAGGGCTTGCTGTGGCTCACTGTTAAGCGTCAGACAATAATTCCTAAAAATACACATCTGTGTCTAGCATCCTACATCATAACTAGAATGCAAATTGATCAGTATAATTCTGTTTGCATAACTAAGATGCGTACGCATGGCATTAATTGTATGCCAGCGACTAATCAGAATTTAGTCACTTATTCAGTCACTAGTTACTTACAAGAGGAAAATCTGGGATATTTCAAAATACTAAACGTTCTCACAGTAATAAACGATTCTAGTAACAAGTGGAAATGAAATAATTATGCTCTCTTTTATTGTGGCAATAACAAACTATTGATTCGGTATTCAATCAGTATCCCTCTATGACACAACACATCTTGTAACAAAAGAAGGCAAGACACGAGAGTCTAGACATATATTTGTCATTAATCAAACCCCTGTTTATATATATATACAGTTTATATTCGTTAACCATTCACTGAGCTTGGGATTTCGGTTTACATCGAACTACAAAAAATAGAATGTTCAAATATATATATAGTATTCTGTTGTTAATGCCGAATTGAACTGTAGGAACATGTGAGAACAGTATTCCGTTGGCACACATTGTCTGTATCCCACCACCACAATCTGACACGTTGTTTTCACTTTAAGGAAGTATTCAACTATTATTAACTGTGAGCTGACTTAAAACAACTTTGATTCCCTAGAATTTGCTTTCGTTCAGCAACACCTTAAGCAATATTAACTGGTGCAGTAAAGAAATCAGAAATGATTTAAAAGTTTATTACACTAAACAATCTTTCATATGCTCTTTGTAATTTTCAAGTTGTTGTGTTCTCTAAGCTGGCTGGTTTAATTGCCAGGCTTTCATTGTCCAACTGGAAGACATTTTCAGTGGTAACTTTTTTATATGGAAGATAATGTAAGCTTTGCAATCAAATCATCTATGCGAGAGAGAGAGCACATAAACACCAAAAATGTTCACCTGAGCTACAAATCGTCTCCAATACTTCAAAATCTTAGGAGTGGTCTTGTCTTTATTTTCTGCCAGTATACAGATTACTGTGTCATGAAACGATGAATGGAAAACAATAATAAAATTGACAAATTTCATATGAAGTGCTATGTTAAGATTAACATGTATGGTTTTTATTGATGGAGTACATCTTGTACAGTTGTCATTAGGAAAATGATAAAAACAGAAGAGAATAGTTTGTGAAATCAGTGGTAAGTATTCAGACTTTGCAGAGAAGTCATGTAGAAGTGCATAATATATAAAAAATTGTGATGTAAAAGTGGTTTATATTATTATTATATTATTATATCCTTTAATTCCTAGAGAAACGTAGAGCTTCAGCTGCGCACCTCCATTGCCTTCGGTTTTCTGACAACTTTTTCACCCCGCTCCAAGTCTGCCCACACGCTTTCATCCCCTCTTCACATGACCCCATCCAAGTCACCCTCGCACTAAACGACCAACTCGCCGCCCACTTCCCTTTCGGGTTCCACTCGAGCGATGGCTTGTCTAGTGATGTCACTTGATGGATTCATTTCTCAGAGTATGGCGAGCCAATCCACCTCCATTTCTTCCTGCCTATTTGTTTCAAAATCGGTTCCTGCTGGGTTTGTTCGCTCATTTCCAGAGATCCCTGTTTCTGATCTTTTCTGGCCAGCCATCTGATCTTGAGTAGTATTGAGCGAAGACAACTGTTAATGAAGGTCTGAAGTTTGTTTGAGATGCTCTTTATGACGCGCTGGCCAAGTCTCTGATCCGCATATTAGCACTGACTGACTTCACATTGGAGTTGAAAATCCGGGTGTTATTTTTGATTCTGAGTGCTGTGTTGACCTCCACACAGACTTAACGTGAGTAATGCAAGCCTGTCTTGCTTTTCCGATTCTCGCTTTGTTATCCTCGTCAGTTCCACTCGCCTGTAGTTGGAACGATGCTTCCCAGGTAGGTAGGTAGGTGAAGGAGGTTGTTTGTTTCAGGTTCCTCCCATTTATGCCGGCTGATTGTTGTCTGTTGTTGTTGTTGCTGTTGGTGTTGGCGAGGAATCTTCATCACCTCTGTTTTATCTGTGTTCACTTGAAGTCCACAGTTGTTGGTCAAACAAATTAAATCCAAACTATCCTGGAGAAATTTCTTACCGTGTGAATGAATGAATTAAATATGATCTTTTCTGATGAACTTGAATAACTTAAAGAAGGAGAGCAATTAGACACCTTAACTTGCTTTCTATTGCCTAATACCATGATGCTTTTCTATGCTCTTCAAAAAACTAACTTGACCTTCACTGAAAATATGCAAAGATTATTTGTCTTACTTATTTAATAAAAAAACAGTTTTTATGCAGCCGAGGATAATCTTATAATATAAAACGAATTAAGATTTTGAGTTTCTAAGGATTTTGATTGTTTTCAGCGTAGATTTCATCACAAAACGGATATTAGTCATGTTTAAGGCGGATACTCATACATGGCATTAGTTGGCAGTGGTAGTATGTCGCCGAATGACAGGAGTCAAGATTCACAGATCACTGAATCCTAACCCAGTAGATAAATAATTAGCGACCTAGCTTAAGTAACTGAAGGCCCTGAGTACGATCCTTGATGGGCCAAAGGGTGAGTAGTGGTGAAGGGTCTCAAATGAAGCAGAAACAGCGCTGTTTAAGTGCTTCCTAGTTTCCAATGATTCTTCAAATTATGTCGTATGTCATGACAAAATCTACACTGGAAGTAAAACTAACTAATTGTATCCTACAAGCATGAGGCTCAGCGCGTAATATTTAAGGAATATGTGAAGTTAAAAATACACTTTTTTCTTTTTTTCATAAATCCATTATTAAACTTGCCTGACTGGTTGAGCAACACGTGGAGCCTGTGGCGATCGATAGAACAAAATGTTAAAAAATAAATTACATCCTCGCATATAACGTGATATTGTTTCCGCCAATTCAATAGTTTTCGACCAGTGTTTAACACGAACACCGAAAAGAATAACACCTAAATAAGAAGTAAAACATATGCTGAAATAAGCGTTAAAGCTCAAAAGTCTCAGTATTTGGAGGGAAGAATAACATAATTGGTAAACTTTCAGTGGTCTTTTAACAGTAAATTACACTTATGCATATCTAAGAGTATTTGATAAAAAACCAATTCAGTCATCCTCCTAATAATCTGCTTAAGGTCTTTACGAGAAGTAGCAATTTTTGTCTTATAAATACTAAATATAATTCAGAGAGCTAATTTAAATTTCAACATTCATTTGCGACAGGTATAATGTGAGAAGCTCATCGTTTTGGTCCATATCAAGAAAAAATAAAAAAATATAATATTTCTTGCTTCATTTTTGCAGTGCGTCAGTGTTTCGACAGTTGAAAACTCACTAATCACGCAGGAGGCACAAGTTCGATTTCCGACTGAGACAGTCCTAAACATTACCGAGCCAGTAGTAAACCTGGGAAACAAAGAAGGTTGGATGTAAGGCTATCAGCCTCATCGCGTGTAAACACCATCACCGCTACTGAGGTTGTATGTTCCATTTGGGAATCAAGGGGTGAAAACAATAAGCTTATAAGCTTAGTATAAAGTCCGTTTGAATGTACGAATAACTGATGATAAAATTATTTACTGAGTTTGCATTTGATTGATTGGCATAATACATTTCTAAGGATAAGTGATGTTTTTTGATGTGGTTGTGTTCTCTGAGCTCGATGGTTAATTCGCGAAGCTTCCATCACCCTACTAGGTGACATCTTCAGGGCATACTTCAATTCGAGGAAGTGAGCTTTTAGATTTCTTCACGAGTTTATTAATCATCTCTCCTGGTGATCTGGGATGTGATTGGTTGCTTTCGTGTGTTTTCACACCTTCTAGGCAGCTACTTGCATTGGAACTGATTGTTTCTTTGACTTGAACTTTGACCCTTTGTGTGTGAGGTTACTTTCTCATCGGTTGATAAATTTTGTCTATCTCTATGTGTCTATTGATTGATGATTCAGTGGAATACTAGGCTGGCTTCTAAATATTCTCTAGCATTCTTGTTGTTTCCTCTGTCTAATATTCGAACACTGGTTGTCCCAGTCGAATTGATGTCTGTGGTTGTCTGTATGCAGCTAGTGATATGAGCGAGGGAGTGGATATCATGTCTTTTGACGGCTAACTTATGATCGTGGATACGAAGACGAAGAGGAAGGGACATCCACTTTGGCCAATGTAGTGTTTTTCACAGTTGTTACAATTTATTTTGTAGATACTGATGTTGGTTTTATCTTCGTTCTCTGTTGAGTCTTTTGGTTGACATAGAATTGAGTGAAGTGACTTTGTTGGTTTGTGTACGACGTCAATTCCTAAAGGTTTGAAGTGTCTTGTAGTGATTTCTGAGATATCCTTTATATATGGTGAGGCGATTTTCTTTGTGCTTTCCTTGGTGGCTTTTGCTTTGATAGGTTGGCTTGGGGATATATGTCTTTTGATGAAATTCCGTGGATATCCATTCCTTTGGAAGACGTCCATGAGAAATCTTCCTTCAATTTTTCTTAAGGTGTGAGTGCTGCAATGAGTCCTGGCTGACCATCTTGAATAATGTTTGTATGCAATCCTTTTTGTGTGTTATTGGATTGTTGCTATTGTAATTCAGGACGTAGTCTGTGTGAGTTGATTTTCTATAAACCTGAGTTTCTAATTCCCCTGTGGTTGTTTGCTTGACTAAGATGTCCAAAAGTAGTATTTTGGTTCTCGGATTCCTCTTCTCTTGTGAATTTGATGTCGTTGAAGACGTTGTTTATGAAGTTGTGAGTTTTATCTAGCTCGTTTCTTTTGATTATTGCAAATGTGTCATCGACTTAACGTATACAAATCTTGGGTTTGATCTTTGGTAGAATTATGTTTTCAAGTCAGTAGGGTGATGAAAGCTTCGCAAATTAACCATCCAGCTCATAGAACACAACCACATCAAAATCATCCACCTGAGCTACAAATCTTCGCTATTATATCTATAAGTGATGTTTTACGCCCGGTAACTATTGATATCTAGCAACTGATGACTACAGAAAGGTATGTCTTTTAGTCATGTATAATTCTGACATTTTCACCTCTTTATTTATCCATACTAGTCACTACTAATCTAGTTTCTGCTGTTAGCTAACTTTCTGTTTTTGACATTTCTAATTTTAGGCATACAGTGTTCTGCCATTTACGCTTTTTGTTACGTTATTTTCTGGTTGTTTTGCTATTTCCTTTATAGTGCAGCATATTTTTTGTTTACCACTGATGCACTAATCAATAAACCATGTTTAATAAATTCATGGAAAGGCATTTTACTTCTGATCAGTAATATAGAAAAATGCAATTTGTGACTGTTAGCATAAAGATTATCCTAAATTCAGTAAACCATTCACATTTATATTAAATTAAAGATGTTATTCAAAGTGTAAAAATGAAGATATTTCAAGGCTAATGAAATTGTTTATTGCGTAGACTGTTTGTTTATTAATAATTTTTGTTTTGCTTACTGAATGCTTGTGCAGAAACGGAATGACTCTTAAACTAACAATGTTCTGTGTATGAAATGATGTGAAAAACAAATGCTTTTGCTTATACAGAAAATAAAATTGGCTTACTTAGCAAGGATAACATCATTTGCTTAGTGAGAAGGCTTTTTCCTCATTACTGGTTGTGATGATGAGCCACCTGGCATGGTAACCACATGGTAAACTTGACTCATGGAATTCACTCCGCACTTAACAAACGGCTAGACGCATGATAGTTGTAAGTGTTCAATCAAAGTAACCAATAAAGTCCTACGGGAGGTCATTTGTGATCCTGAATAGCTCAGTGATAATGTCTCTGACTGACTGCAGCACTGGGTGACGCAGGCTGGGATCTCAGAAGGGGTATGAGTTTATAATAATAATAAGCTTTATTCCAAAACAGTACTTGTGATACAGAATGGAATTCTCAGCATTTTACTACAGTATTGCATCCAGTTAATACATTATCAGTAAATAAAATTCTACATAGAATAAGGAAATCTCAGTTCATAATGACAACAGCTTATTAGCATGTCGGCAAAGCCAAAATTGAACAGTTTTCAAGTATTGGTTTTGTAGGAATTTTGTTTGATTGTATGGAGGATTTCACCATGAGCTGACATCAGTTAGAGAACCACTGGAAAACCACCTGGGAGTACTGGACAGCTGTTTCGTCCTAGTTTGGGACTAAACTAAGACGTTCCAGTGGTTCTCTAACTGATGTCAGCTAATGGTGAAATCCTCCATAATATTGAACAGTGTTTGAAGGTGTTAGAAAAGTAGATGCTTGCACATTTACTGGCGTAAGCGGAAGAAAGAAACAAAGTAACACATAAGAGAAAAAGAGAGAGAGAGAAAAGGAAAAGAAAGAAAGAAAATGTTGTACCTATAAATGATATGAGTTGGGAAGACGAGGTCTAATTGTTCTTTAAAGATTGCGGAAACACCTTACTGACGGGTGGCAACAAACATAAAACCTAATTTGGAGGCTTCCGGCTGATCACCTCCAACCATCTGATTGCTGTTAATGTTTGTAGTTTTTCACTCTAACTGATATTTAACAGACTTCAAGCATATTCTAAAATAGGTTATGATGTATGATTAGATACGAGTTTATTGCTTTATACGTATTAGGATTTAATGATTCTGTGAAAGGTTATAAAACTGTGTTCACAGAGTGGCGTAATTATTTGATGAAATGCAATAATGCTTCATTGTTGTGGTAATTGTATATCTAGTGTGTGGTATTACCAATTAAACAACCGAGATTGAATTTGTCATTTACAAGCTACAAATTTCAAAGTGAGATGTCATCATGAGTAGCATTAGAAAGGACTAAGTTTCAGACCACAAAGTGTGACTTACTAAACAATATTAAATAATAAATGAGAAAGTAGGTAGTTGTTCACATAGTTTTTTATATATTATAGGTTGTGGTGGCGGGAACTGATTTGACACTTTGAGTCGACTCTAAACAGATGCACTGCCGATGATCTCAGCCACGAATTAGTGGAACGGTCATACAGCACTTGGATTGTTTCGATATGCCTAGCAAGCACTTTTACTTGATGTGAATGAACTGAGACTTCTCACTTCATAAGTATCCACGATGTCGGCCTTTATGTATTATTGGATTTTATCATGAGCTGACATTGGTTAGAGAATCATTGGAAAACTTGGGAGGACTGGACAGCTGTTGCGTCCTGGTTTGGGATTCTTCATCAGTACTCACCGGTGGGTACTGTCCAGTACTCCCAAGTTTTCCACTGGTTCTCTAACCAACGTCATCTCATGTTGAAATCCTGTAACCAACCAAATCCCTACAAACCAATACTTTATGTATTATTATCATTATTACTAAACCAATGAATTTGTACAGTTTTCAATTTCGATTATGCTATTCGTGCAGGTTGCTTTACAGGTTCATAAAGCTTTCGCAGTAGAGTTAGTTGGTTGGGGATTCAAATACGGAGATAAGCTACTTTAATTCTGATAATTTAGACAAGTGAAGCTCATCACAAACCACTTTTTATATCTACAAGTTATGCGGATGATTACTTCACTAAGATATTTCTGTTCATATCGTGAGCTACTAGCTTATAAGAATTTATAACTCAAATATAAATTAATCCAGCGATGCCTTGTGATAGATCAACCACGTGAAATTGTAGGAAGAAGTGAACACAGGCGACCGACTATTTGTTTAAATAATACACACCATTGTAAGGTAAGGGGATTGCTTTTGATATGCACAAATTATCGAACAGGTATGAGCGTTTTGGTGTCAAAAGCACTCAGAACAGAGTGTGAAATTTTATTTTAAGTATTTTTTGTCGAATATTAGCTTAGTTAATGTTTCCAAGTTCAGTTCACATCGAAAATGTACATCTCCTTTTGTTTCTTCTGCTTAACTTAATCAATGTTTTAAATGTTTTTGTTCTTACGATCTTGTTGTTATTTGCACATGATAAATGTCTTCAAACAATCTCTTGAAATAGAAAACATTGAAATGGCCAATGAAAACTGATTTCTAATACATCACACAAAACGAAACCTGTAGTATCATTTAGGTAGTATGGTTACAAAACTGAGTTACATCAATAATAAAATGTTAGTCCAAGGCTGGATTCTTGGCTGATGTACTAACATAACTACTAGTGTACTACACTGTTTTAAACTTTAAAGACTAGAGAGCAATGAAAATAAGGCTGGTAACTCCACTCCGTAAAAACTAGACCACTTCTACTGAAACTGCAAGGAGGCTCAAACTCCCGTGTCCAACTCGAAACTCAAAGGAGAGAGAATCGGTAGATATATATCCCTATTATGGGTTGTTATTTCTGTCAAATCGTGTTGTGTTTGACAATATTCTGTACACAGTATATTACGTGTGATTTCTTCTGCAAGAAAAATGAGTAGTAGAGGGACGGATTAAATGGCAAAGAAGAGAAATGAAACAGTACTATTATTACTACTCCCTTAGGTGCTAAGTGGAATGGAGGGCTTCAACGACACATATCCATTTCATGCTGTTTTATGTAGCTCTCTTTAGCTGGCTCTACGGCTACTTATAGGCTATCATCTTCCTCTGAGACGATCTTCTTCATTTATCTCTCGGATTCCTAACTTATGTAACAACATAGAAAATTTGAAATGAAGATAAAAGAAATACAATACAGAGTACATGTGCAAATAGTGTGACGTAAGGTATATGTATTCTGTTGTGTTTCTTCATCAATTCACCATCAAACAGTTCTGTTACTTTGGTAGCGGAACAGCTTTTCATTAAGAGTTCAATGAATGCATATAAAAGTAATTTACTAACTTCTATTTGTGACAATGTCAACTTTAATTAATCATAGTTTTCTTGTTTAACAAACTTTTATCATGAAAAAAGTGTATAATTTTGTCCACAGGCAGAATGTATCTCATTTATATGAAATGGGGATAAAACTGATGATGGTATCGTTTTGTATTATCTTGACTTTACTGACGCAAATCGAGATTCGCAGTCGAAATATCCGAACTAAAACTTTTGATCGATTCAGAATATCTCTCACTACTTTTTAAGCTTTAGAAGTACTCATATAAATGAAAATATTAGTTACTGTCAAATACATATTTTTAATCAAATTTCTCATCATCATCTCTAGTAATCATTTCATCAGAAAGTTCAAACAAAAGTTCCTGTTATAGGAAGTTTGTATACTTCATGAAGAAATTATTTAGGCTTGAGAATGGGGGCAACTACTCAAAGAATGCATCGAATAATGATTTTTACACTACGGAGAGATATTGTTTTAACAACCAATAAATTGTGAAATAAAATCCGTACGCTGTATAACCACCTTAATACTGTACACATTATCACTCACTCATACTGAGTAATGGAGAAAACTAAACTTGTAAAATACATAGTAAAATTTAATGAAAAGTTGATTTAGATTAACTCTCATTTCATCTATTGGTACATAGGTTGAAGAATAAAATGACAGGTGTACATACAAAGCTTAGAAAAAGTATAAAATGGAGCATAAAATTTGTTTGCACATTAGTGATTTATATACCCGTTGATGACGTAAAGTAGGTTTTTATTACATAATATAACAGGTGAATGGATGGTTAGGGTAAACTACTTTAACTGTACACGTTTTTTATTTGATAAAAGTTTTATGTTTACTATTCGACAGCTGAAAGCTTCTAAAACTTGTAGGATTACACTGTCGTGTAAACTGTCATTGTAAACAGATGTAGAGTATTTCACAAGGTAGTACATATACATATACATGCCCATACGTACTTCTGCATTCATTTTTGAGCCTTTTTTTCAATCCACATGCATACACCTTTTACAAATCATCCATATTGTTGAAGATTAACAAATTTTAATTAAATACAAAGAATATGTGAATGTTGGATAATACTTACCGAAAAATAAGGCATACATCAATGTGGCGGTTATAGCAACAGCGACTCCTAGCTGCCATCCTAATGATAAACCCAAAATATAACCCAGAATACTGGCAATTATAACAGGTAGAATTCCAGGCCAAAAACTAAAGCTTATTGGTGCTTGATCATAATAATATGGATTCGATTGTTTTAAGTAAACTAATTCTTCTGAAAGAAGAGAAAAATGTTAGACAGTTCGAAAATAATAATAATTTCTCAGGGGTAAAAATGGAATGTATGTTAATGCAACCAATCAATGTTTACAAAAGTACACAAATACACATAAATAATTTGCTTACTTACTTTGTGGTTTTTATTTGCCTAATGTAGCTAATATCCTATTCATCGTATTTACTTCATATAAAAAAGAAGCTAATAATATTTCGATATTGCGAATTGGTATACTGTTTTAGTTTGTTTCGTTATATCTAGCACCTCTTGTTTTTTTATAACTATAGTCTCTTTGTTATTCATATCAACTATGGCGTGTTTCAAAAAAGAATGTAAGAGCTGGAGTTGAATGCTGTGGTATAGTATAGTTCCATTATTATTAATAGTATCATTGTTCCCTCGGGTTCCGAGTGAAACATACGGCTTCAATAGCACCTTTCCACTTCATCTTGTTCTCTTCTGTCCTTTTTAGCTGGCACCACGACTGCCTACAAACTCTCATCTCCTCATATCACCATCTCCTCCATATCACCCTCGTTCATCCCACTTGTCGTTTCCTATGTGGATTCCACTCGAGGACCTGGTGAGCGATATCATTCGACTGTCTTCTCAGTATGTGTGCGTCGGCGGCACAGTGGTTAGGACTCTCGCCGACCATGCACATGGTCCGGGGTTCGAGCCCACGCCGGCGCACACCTGAAATCTATGGTCGGCCTGCAAAATTTGGGCCACCGAAATCCATGCTGAAAATTCCATACTTGTACCAAAAATACAGTGTGGAATCAAGCTGTAAATCAAAAAATAAAAAAAAATATGTGTATGATCCATCCCTATTTTCTTCTACATATTTGTTGAGCCATAGGTTTCTGATTGGTTTGTTTCCATAGTTTCTTGTTGCTGGTTCTTTCTGACCATTTGATCTTCAGTATGGAGCCAGTGAGGGCAGTTGTTGATGAAATTCTGCAGTAGTTTGTTAGAAATGTTTTTCGTGACGCTCAGTGCTACTTATTGACTCATATCTGGGGGGGGGGCTGACTGACTTAAAATTGGTGTTGGACTTCAGAATCTTGTTCTCTGTCCTGAATGCAGAAGATCTCCAAACTGATCTCAAAGAGAAGAAGCTCTGTTTTACCTTACTGACTGCGGTCATGGCATCCTGATCAACACCGACTGCCTGTAGTTGAAACGATGCTGCCTAGATAGGTGAAGTGAATGACATCTTTCATATTTCTCCTGTTGAGATTGATTGATGCTGGTTGTTTAACTTTATTAGCTGCTACTTCTCTGCGTTCACTTTAAGTCTTATCGTTGCTTCTTCTTCAGCCGGTTAGCTGGTTTTTGCCCGTAGGTCTTCGGGTTTATGTGACACTAGACATAAATCATCCACACACGAAATCCAGATGTTCTAAAGTCTTTTCTTTGGTCCAGCGTATTCCTGTCTTCTCATTCCCCACAGTCTGATGCCATGATTCAGTACACCACAATTAGGATTATCATGGGTTATACTGGTGGGTAGCCTTGTCTTAATCTCGTATTCACCTCGAAAGCTTCACTAAATTTTTCCGTTTTGGATCACTTGACACATGGCATTTTCGTATAGCTGCTGACAATAATACATTATTAAAAACTGAATCACAATAATATATTGCTAATATATCGCCACAGTGTTCATGAGACCTCCAAACTTGCTTCATACGCTTCTCTTTCCTTGCATGTTTAAATACAATATTCGGGAGTTATTACTGCATAATTCTTATGATATACTGAGTAACTATTTTTATTTACTCACTTAAAATTCGCCTATTAACTTAAATTTAACTCGATTTTAATATGACTCTTAGTTACTTGGATCTCATACTACACTGTCCTTACAGATTGCTGTTTTGTACAGTTAACTTTGATGAAGTTTTGGTTACCATTAGTTAAAACAGTTGAGTAGAACATCTATCCCAACTAGATATTAGGCACGTAAACCTACTGAGAATGAAATAAGGACGCTGGATGCCACCAAGGCTTCTTTCATAAACTATACACAACTTGAAAAAATATTTACCTGAAAAAATGAAGAAATGAAAGTGTAACAAATTTTTTTGAAGACTTTTTCAACTCACCGCCTAATCTTTGTACATAATCACAGGATGACCCAAAATTACTAAATAGTCCAACCATGATAGGAAGTATTGTGTGAGGACAAAGCAACATACTAGCCAGTGAAGTTAAACAACCTTGTTGAAAACTTTCAAGAGAATTTAACCCAAACTGCGATTGTTGTCCTCCGATTAGACCACTTGGGATCTCTTGGTGGTATGAAGAAGACATCTGTGGTTTATTAGGACCCCAGTCATTAGTGGAGTCTCTTGGTACATTGAAATTGTGAGAATGATAATTAAACCAATGACAGTCGTTGGGAGCTAAATAAACATAAATAAGTGATACTTTACGATATTTCTTGGACAACGAAATGAGATAAATCATTGAAACCTAGTTATTCAACAAGGATTCTCGATGGTCAATTAAAAAACAGAGTGAACTCATTAGCCATTGCTAGTATCTTTATCTCTTTTCCTAAACAATAATGTGATTAGATGAGTCTGTTTACTATTTTCAAGTATTGGTTTTTTTTGTAGGGATTTTGTTTGATTGCATGGAGGATTTAATCATGAGCTGACATCAGTTAGAGAACCACTGGAAAACCACCTGGGAGTACTGGACAGGTGTTTCGTCCTATTTTGGGACTCTTCAGCAGTACGCACCCACGGTTAAATCCTCCACGATTAAATCCTACATGTTTACTATTTACCAGGCAACAATCGTTACATTTAATCGCATACCGGATACATCTAAAAAGTATTTGTCTGGCATGTTGTTTGTATACATTTTTCTAAAACCAATCTCCTGTTTGCTAACAGACCCACCATCATGCACCACATTCTGTAAGCCTTTTAGTAAGCGTTATGACAGGAAAAGAGGGAAATTGCTACAAAATGAGGAAACTTATTTGTTAAGCCCATTCCTCGCCCTTACCCGCACCTCGAAATATAGCTTTCGAAGAATTACATAACTTGATATTTTAAATCCGCGCTATTCCACTTCATCGAACAGCTCTTAATGATTTACTGCCGTTTTTGGACAATCACCTGAATTCGTTTTGTCAGAGCAGGTCAATCAGATATTTAAGATTTAAATAAATCTGATTCCTATTGCATGAAATACGCTTTTCTTTACTTTTTAATTTGTTGAGTAACTATGTATGCTTGGATTGATAAGTTGAGTGTACGATTCCCATTGGAAACGCCAAAAAGCATAAGGATGAATAGAAATACTTGCATCACAGGTAGCGAATGGGACTAAACAAACCTCATAGATCCTACTACCGGCTGTAAACAACTAATTAAATCGATCATATTTATGTATATGTGAGTAAAACCTCGGAATTTATGGAATTAGGTAATTGAAATCATTTCAATTGAAATGCGATTTGCAGAACATTGCTTAAATGTACACCACTGAAGTTTTGAAGTCAAAATTTAACAGCGAAAGACAAGAGATTTGGTAAAAAAAGACGTCTATTTGGTATCTCTACTTAGCGCAATTATGTACACCTTATCTTCCAGTCACCATTTACACAGATCCTCCGTCTTGTGCAACTTCTGGCCTCCTTTTTTTGTTTCTTTGCCTTCTTTTTACGTCTCCCATGTATCTTCGCAACGCTGTATCATATGCTTCCTCTGGCTTCAAATCCATCTTCCTGTTATTTGATATTTTTATGCCATTGAACGTCTCTTTATATGCTACTAATAAATCTTATCAGTATCACACGCCACAATAAGAATTGAATTACTAATCCGAAGGTAGTTTCAAATTAGTGGCAAATGTCAGTGTAGATAATCTTAATCACTATGTTTCATTTACTTACAGATAAACGTAACAGAGCTTTGTGGCATTTTGTATATGCTGTCTAAAGTACCGTTTATCATACAGCAAGAGTTCGTTACTGTGACTTATTTACTTTCACATCTTTTTGTTTTATATATATAATTTTCCAATGACCAAACTTCTTTATAAAGAAATTACAGTGGACGCGAAAGAAATGTTTGCGAATGGCCTAATATGTGACTGCTTTCTAGCGTTTATAACGTAAGTACATTTTATGTGTCATCTCACAATCTACTGGTGTTTTAGAAACAGTTTGGCGACTGTTAATGATTCAGATAGAAAATGATATTTATGCTTGCTTGAAATTGGGCGTCAAATGACTACAGTTCACGAATCATAATCTTATATGAATTTTTAAATGAATGCAAACTTACCGAGGCCTACAATTTCATCTAAATTAGATTTCTTAGGATGATAATCTACCGTATTCACTGATTGCATTCGCCTACTGTCATGTACTTCTCTCTTTTTATTTTTATAATATGGAGCATTTAGTGTTTGTGAATATCTCTGAGCATAAGCATCTTCTGGATTTACAGGTAGAGGATGAAAATGTCTTGCATTATTGTCATCATCATTTCTGTTTGGATTTGAATTTGAACCTGATGAATCATTTGTATGCTGCATTTCTAAAAGTCTTCTACGATAATACATCTTTTCTTTATTTGTTAATCGTTCCTTTTTATCCTTTTTTATATCTTGAAGGTGAGTATATGGATGCTGATGCAAAAATGATTGTTCTTTGGACTGTGAATAACGTTTATCTCTTGGCATATGTGAACTGGCTGGTCGTGGTTTTCGTGTAAGTTGTTTTTGAGGATAATCAGATCCACGATTCATACCACGACCTGTACTAAAATCACGACTTGTTGATGTTATAGAACCAGAAGACTGCTGCCTTCGATAATGTCGTTTTGTATGTCCGTGAAAAGAAGTTTGTTGTGAAAGCCTATGGGGAACTTGTGCCATTGGTGCACTTAAATGCGAATGTAACATATTTGGTTGAATTGTACTTGTCATGTGTGTGTGTGAGTGCGTGATCTGTTATGGCCTAAAACAAAAAAATATGAAACAATCAGCATTTTGAGTTGACTAATATCAGCAGATAAACATCGAAATCTACAGAACTTTTCAAGAAAGTTTATTTCTTAACATTGTTCTTAGTAAATCTATCGAAAAACCAAAAGATTTCAAAGTTGATTATTAGGTGCATAAGAATTTCATCTGGTAAAAACTAGACACTCTCATGAATTGCTTTTCTCTCTTCTCACTACAGAACACCTTAAGTGATATTCATTTATGTTATCTTTTCATGTTATTACCCTTGTTAATTAATATATGAAAACTTTACGTTAATAATTTACAGTTTACATTCCTGTTAGAGGTTTCTGTCTGAAGATGTAACATTTAAGCTAAAAACCATGGTAATAATTATGAATAATTTATTAATATTATGTCTCATCATCATCTGTAAATTTTAAGTTGTTTTATAGAATTCTAGGTAGTGCATAATTTCAACATTCTAGGCAGCCAGCCTACAACTTCGGCTACCGGGAATCTCCATCAATATATTGCATAGAGTTTCTACTTTTCAGTTTGTTTAAATCTAGTAAACAATATGACCTTTAACAGTATTCTTTAATCAGGCGAGTATTTAAAACATTTCCAACGTGCTGATTCTCAAGTTTCTATTAAACGTGTGAAAATGCATTTTCCTAGATGGAAGCTTATCCTGATACATGAGATGACCGTTGCTGAGTGGTGTTCTTGGTTCACAAAATATACTCTTGAACTTTCTATGAGTGGCATTCGACAGAATGTTGTTAATTTCTCTAAAGAGACAAAAAAGAGCATAATGGATTGGTTTGCGCTTCAGGTCAGATAGAACAGTGTCACACCATCTACTGTCAATTAATATTTTATTTGAAGATCCTGGACGAAGAGGAAATGTCGCGCAATGTATTCCGCTGAAAATACTCTACATTAAATAAATATTGTTTAGAGCAAAGCTGTTATTATTATATCTTTTAATTCCTAGAGGAACATAAGGCTTCACCCACAAGACTCCATTGCCTTCGGTTTTCTGCCAACTTTTTCACCCCGCTCCAAGTCTGCCCACATGCTTTCATATCCTCTTCACATGACCTCCTCCAAGTCACCCCACCCTTGCACTGACGACCAACTCGCCGCTTCCCTTTCGGGTTCCACTCGAGCGATGGCTTGTCTAGTGATGTCACTGACTTGATGGTTTCCTCAGAGTATGGCCAGCCAATCCACCTCCATTTCTTCCTGAATATTTGTTTCACAATCGGTTCCTGCTGGGTTTGTTCGCTCATTTCCAGAGATCCCTGTTTCTGATCTTTTCTGGCCAGCCATCTGATCTTGAGTGGTATTTGGCAAAGACAACTGTTAATGAAGGTCTGTAGTTTGTTTGAGATGCTCTTTATGACGCGCTGGCCAAGTCTCTGATCCATCCGTACAGTAGCACTGACTGACTCCACATTGGAGTTGAAAATCGGGATGTTATTTTTGATGCTGAGTGCTGATCTGATTGTTTCATTCCTTGTATTCCTTGTTTTCCGATTTTAAGGAGAGCAACTCACAAGGTCGCTTCTCTCTAAACTTTATCTTAATGTAACAGTTCCTTTCTCAGGCGTGAGGCTAGCAACCCCACCCTATAAACAAAGTTGCTACAGAAACTTCAGCACGATGAATCTCTTTGCGCCAAAAGAAAAAGTTTGTGTGGGGACATGGAATGTCCACACTATGTACGAGATTGGGAAAGCTGGCCAGATCGCAAACGAGATGAAAAGATACGGAATCCAAAGCTGTTATTATTTTAGCTATTTCTATTAAAATCCCATACTCAACGATATTTCTACACAATCAACTATGTACGTAGGGCGGTTGTTGTCTCAGGTTTGTACTGTGAGTATACATGTAGCAGGTAGACTGACTCTAGAACAATATCTAAGTTGTAATGTTGTTTCCCGATGCAAATGATTTCATATACGATACCAAGTTTGACCAACACGAAGTCTGCTTTTTAACTTTTTGCACGTATCAAAATCATATATTCAAAAATTCTAGTAAGCTTATACCAGATAGCTGAGTAATAATAATATATTCTCATTTGTTCGTACATGAAGGATGCCAGTTTACAAGCATTATCAGTATGACAAATAATATGAGCATGGAGTAAGCATGTTTACAGTTATTCAAGTACAAGTATATATATATATATATATATATATATATATATATATAGAAGACATCTAATATAGCATCTATAAGGTCACTTTACATAAGCAGAAGCAATGTACATATTTAGACTAGACAGATACGAAGTGTTTACACTAGGAAGCTTGAAATTTATGTTCAAATTTCCCCTCATATTTGTGTTTTAATACTGTTTAGTGAGTAAGGCGATCATTATTTATCATAATAATTGATTTGGTAATTAGGACATTTTATCAGGACAATGGTAACTGATATCAATTCCCGAAAGGTGACACCTATTTACCCAATTGTACACGAAATAAATTCTATTTTCAAAAGGTTACAAGTGTCTTATAGCATCACCGCTGTTTTACTGAAGGCTATATCAAGAAGGTACGTTAATGTACAATTTTAAAACTTAGTATGTTGGTACCTGAATTGTTTTCCTACAATTAGAAACAAAATCAACAAGTTATTTGCTTAACTAAGACGAAATGTTGCTTTTACGAACCTCTGGCTTATATAAAAGTCAGTAAATGAGTTCTTCTACAGGGCTAACTTTATTCTAAATGAGGTAGTGAACTACAACTTGTCAAACGTTTGATGGTTTTCGGCTAGCAGAAAATTTAATTCATGGCTAAATCAGAACTGATAGAAAGAGATGGACTTAACTTCAGCTTATTATTAATACTTGAAATGAACACAAGTACAGAATGTTCAGTATACGGAGACATTTTGATATACAATTGAAGAAGACATAAAATTCTCTTTCAACTATACATAAAAACGTTTACATTATCATTGCAGCTTTCCACTGTTATATCTACAACTTTATATACATTTGTCTTAAAAATAACTGAAAGCTACAATATGAAGGTTGATTGACAGACAATATTAGTTCAAAATCAATAAGATAGAACTTTTAAGGATAAAGGTAAACGAATAACATTTTGACATTAAAAGCAAACAGGAATTAAACCTGAAATAATTTGGTGGGTGGTGGTGACCAGAAGCAGAATCCAGGAGGTGCGTTTCGTCCCATTTGGAACTAGTCATCTGGATTTACATGCATTGACCAGAGTGTGATGGTGTTTGAGCTGAGACACTACAGGAGTCAGTGGTGATTCTCGTGACCCAAGAGGTCTAGTGTATAACGCTTTGGTTTGGAGTGTCAATGGAAATACCGTTACTCACTGGAGAATGCAGGTAAATTTATCTGATAAGTCCGAAATGAGACAAAAGGCTCATCCTGGATTTCGCTGTCAGTCAGTATCTGTCAAATTATTTCAAGTCAGTTCTCAGACATCGTCGAGGTGTTCGTAGTAGGAGCTGACATGTTAAAAGACGTGGAACATTTCGGTCTAATAATTAACAGAAAAAATAATAATTCACTTAAGAAACAAATAGGAGTTAAACTTACTCACTAAAAATTAGAGATTAAAGCATGAATAATAAATACATGTGAGTATGTAAAAGAACCAGTGCCCAAATTTTATACTTATATCAGCGCAAATTAACTCTTTAAGCAAAGTAGTTTAAGGTGTTAAAGGTAGACAACTTTCCATAGAGTCATTGATGCATATGTTAAAGCAAATGCGGTCATCATATTTTAAGGTTATCCTGATGTTACAAGGTATATTTACTAGCTACTGATGTGTTTCTTTTAAATTTTCTGTCTAGTGACTCAAAAATAAAACATTTACGTCAGAGTATAAAGGTACTGATTTCTAAACGACAATGAAGTTTTACAAATCTTAGCTTAGAGGTTTGAGCTTCCCACATTTCGGAAATGTTAAGAAACCACTAAGGACTGCATAGAGAAAGACTTTTTTCCGGAATAGTTATTTTTCGACTGTGTATCTTTTAGCTTAATTGACATAGATAATCTGTCTATCATCTCTGAACTTGTGATCAAATGTTCACTTAGAAGGACAGTACTGAATCCTATTCTCTTGAATACTAACTTTCATGAAAACACGAGATTTATATTCTGTTAGCAGTTGATTCATTGTTGGATGATTTTTAATACACAAACGCAGTGTAATACAAAGAAACAATCTCTTTTACCTACCTGGGAAACATCGTTTCAACTACAGGCGAGTGGAACTGACGAGAATATCAAAGCGGGAATCGGAAAAGCAAGACAGGCTTGCATTACTCACGTCAAGTCTGTGTGGAGGTCAACACAGCACTCAGAATCAAAAATAACACCCGGATTTTCAACTCCAATGTGGAGTCAGTCAGTGCTACTGTACGGATGGATCAGAGACTTGGCCAGCGCGTCATAAAGAGCATCTCAAACAAACTACAGACCTTCATTAACAGTTGTCTTTGCCAAATACCACTCAAGATCAGATGGCTGGCCAGAAAAGATCAGAAACAGGGATCTCTGGAAATGAGCGAACAAACCCAGCAGGAACCGATTGTGAAACAAATATTCAGGAAGAAATGGAGGTGGATTGGCTGGCCATACTCTGAGGAAACCATCAAGTCAGTGACATCACTAGACAAGCCATCGCTCGAGTGGAACCCGAAAGGGAAGCGGCGAGTTGGTCGTCAGTGCAAGGGTGGGGTGACTTGGAGGAGGTCATGTGAAGAGGATATGAAAGCATGTGGGCAGACTTGGAGCGGGGTGAAAAAGTTGGCAGAAAACCGAAGGCAATGGAGTCTTGTGGGTGAAGCCTTATGTTCCTCTAGGAATTAAAGGATATAATAATAATAAATAATACACAGTGTTTAACCTAATTTAAAACATAATTTCTGCGCATTAAAGCCTAATACATTGCTATTTCATTGTTTAC